GAGGATCATAGGGGAAGGGAGGGAAAAATGAAACAAGACAAAACCAGAGAGGGACACAAACCATAAGAGACTCTTAATCTCAGGAAACAAACTGAGGGTTGCTGGGGTGGAGGGAGTGGGAGGGATGGGGTGGCTGGGTGATGGACATTGGGGAGGGTATGTGCTATGGTTAGCGCTATGAATTGTGTAAGACTGATGAATCACAGACCTGTACCCCTGAAACAAGTAATACATTATATGTTAATTTTTAAAAAATGTTTTAAATGTTAAAAAAAAGAACATTTTATTACTTCCTTCTCTATCTTGTATGCCTTTTATTTCCTTCTCTCGTCTTACTATGGCAGACACTTCCAGTGTGATATTGAATAGGAAGGGTAATCAGAGGAGACATCTTTGCCTTGTTCACAGTAAGAATGGATCTAGTTTCTCACTATTAAGTTTTTTGTATGACTTTTGCAGATGCTCCTTTATCAAGTTGAGGAAGTTCCTCTCCATTGCTTATTATCAAGAGTTTTTATCGTGAATAGGTGTGAGATTTTGTCAAATGCTTTTTCTGCATCTATTGATGTGATTATATGCTTTTCCTTTTTTTAACCTTTGGTGTGATAGATTACATTAATTGATTTTTAATGTTGAACCAGACTTGCATAACTGGAATAAATCCCATTTGCCCTTGTTATGTAATTCTTTTTACACACTGTTGAATTCGAAAGGTCTGCAACTTTACCTGTAATGTTTTTATCTGATTTTGGTATTAGGGCATCTTTCTCTATTGTTCTTCTGTTTTCAGTTCATTGATTTCTGCTGCAATTTTTTTTTCTAGTTCCTTTAGGTTTGTATTGCTTTTTTCCTCTCGTTTTCTAAGGTGGAAGATTAGAGCATTGATTTTAGATCTTTCTTCTTTTCTAATATATGCATTTAATGCCATACATTTCCCTCTAAGCCTTGCTTTCACTGTAGCCCTCAAATTTTGGTAAACTGTACTTTTTCATTTGTTCAAGACATTTTTCATTTTCTTTTTGTTCAAAATATTTTTAAATTTCAGTTGAGATTTCTTCCTTGACTAATGTGTTATTTAGAAGTGTTTAAGCTCCAAATCTTTGGGAATTTTTCCAGCTATCTTTCTGTTATTGACTTCTAGCTTAATTACATTGTATTTTGAGAGCATACTTTGTATATATTCTGGGTTTTTTTTTAAATTTCTTAAGATGTGTTTTATAGCCAAGGATATGGTGTGTCATGGTCAATGTTCCATATGAACTTGAGAAGAATGTGTATTCTGCAGTTGTTGGATGAGATATTCTTTAAATGTCAATTGGATACACTTGATTGATGGTGCTGTTTGGTTCAATTATGTACTTACTGATTTTCTGCCTGCTGGATCTGTCAATTCCTGAAGGAGGAATTTTGAATTTTTTTTTAGATTTTATTAATTTATTTGAGAGAGAGAGAGACAGAGATAGTGAGAGAGAGCACAAGTGGGGAGGAGAGGGAGAAGCAGGCTCCCTGCAGAGCAAGGAGCCAGATGTGGGACTTGATCCCAGGACCCTGGGATCATGACCTGAGCCGAAGGCAGACATTTAACTGACTGAGCCACACAGGGTCCCGAGTTTTGAATTTCTAACTATACTAGTGGATTTTTCTATTTCTCCTTGCAGTTCCATATTGTTTTAAAAAGACATATTTGTGACAAAACTAGTTTTTAAAAAGCACAGGAATGGAAACACAGATGCAAACACAAAATCAGGCCAGTGATTATGTGTAAGCAAGTGGGGATGAGGGAAGGAGAGGCGTAGGATATTTCTAAGGTATTGGTAACATTCTGATTCTAATCTTCATCTTAGTGTTATTCTTTAAGTGTGTGTGTGTGTCATATACTCTTTTGTATATATGATACATTAGTAATAAAATTATTAAGTAAGTGGTATTTTAAAAGAAACACAAAGAAAATATGCATATATAGAGAATATCAGAGGTTTATTTTTTTTAAGATTTTATTTATTTATTCGTGAGAGACAGAGAGAGAGAGAGGCAGAGGCAGAGGGAGAAGCAGGCTCCCCGCCGAGCAGGGAGTCTGATGCAGGACTCGATCCCAGGACCCTGGGATCATGACCTGAGCTGAAGGCAGACACTTAACCGACTGAGCCACCCAAGCATCCCTGGAGGTTCATTTTTTAAAAATACTGTCTTGGATGCCATAAAATACCATCCATATGATTGGCTAATCTGGGTTTAGAAAAGGTTATCCTTATAAAAGATACATTTTGTGGTAAAACAAAAAAGCAAAATAGAAGAGATAGTTCTGGGCAGAACTTAAAAGACAGTGGAACATAAAGACAAGGAAGATAGAATGGGCACCCCAAGAAAGAGGAAGAACACATACAGTTCTGGTAGGCAAACAGGAAGAACACACCTGAAATATAATATGGCAAGTGAAATTAAATAGGAAAAAATATGGAAATTCCCTGAAAATCATTTGGAATAGCTTGAATTTTTTTCCTGGATATAATTAAGGGACCACTGATGTTTCTAAGCAGAACATGACTTAATGAAATTCAGTTTAAAGGAGATAAATTAAAACATGGCAGATTAAATGTATTTATTTATGTCTATTCTTTCCCATTATCTCACTAAGATAGTTGCAAGCCTACAAGGAGAAACGATGGAAAGGGAAGCAAGAACAGAAAGTAGAAAGCAGAGAGAGAAGTGGTATCTGACATAGAGCATGAAATTGTGTTAATTAAGAGCTTGCAGAGGGGGGGCACCTGGGTGGCTCAGGCGTTAAGCGTCTGCCTTCGGCTCAGGTCATGATCCCAGGGTCCTGAGATCGAGCCCCGCATCAGGCTCCCTGCTCAGCTGGAAGCCTGCTTCTCCCTCTCCCACTCCCCCTGCTTGTGTTCCTTCTCTTGCTGTGTCTCTCTCTGTCAAATAAATAAATAAAATCTTTATAAAAAAAAAAAAAAGAGCTTGCAGAGGTAAATTCTAAAGTGATGGGAACCCTCCAGTGTGCCTTCAGTCCTTTCCTCCAGCTCTGCTCCCTGAATATGGAAACCTAACATATATCCTCCTGGCAAGATAGAAGAGGATTTCTCTTTGCATTAACTGATCAGACCTACTTAAAAAAAACTTAAATTTGGAGTCAGAAGAGGAGAAGCACAATGGAACACAAGAGGAGAGAGAAGTATCCCTAAGAACTGACCCAAAACTTGTTACAACTTCTCTCTTATATATTAAAGGAAAACCAAAGACTACCAGAGAATTACAGAAAGCTTCCAACATGAACATCAGACACCTAAATCAATAAAGAGAACAATGGAACTCAGAGGAAACAAGACATAGCAGGGAGCAAAAGAAAAACCCAAAAAAGCATAAATAACATCTTCACAGAAATAGGAGAAGATATTATATACATAAAAGAAAACTATGATTTTATAAAATGGGAAAGAAGTAAGAAAAGAATTTTGAGAAGTGTATAATCACAATGAAAAAAATCAAACACTTGAAAACAAAGTAATAGACATGGAAAATTGAAATGCTCAGTATGTCCTGACTGAGCCTTGAGTGTTGGCTCCTTTCTAGACCTTGTAGATAAACAGTTCTCCATCCAAACAAAAGAGTCACCAATACCTCATTATAATGTGACTACCCATATGTGAAGTTATCATATAGTCAGTGGACAATGTAAAAAATGGTACTGATGATTGTAGAAACTATACTTGAAACTGATGTTATAGAGTCAGTAGTGTGGCTTGCAAAAACAGTAATTGCATTGCGTTTCATGGTGGCATTGTTTAGGGCACAGAGGTTTGGTGACAACCCTACAACTGCCCAACATGGGTCCCCCTGAACTGCCAGGACCGCACTCTGAGTGGGCAGAATGCCATCACCCAAGTATGTATACACTGAGGAAAGAGGAAACTCAAGAGACGTTTACTGAACATCTACAACCTGATGAGAAACTCTCGGAATTTTTCATAACTTCCGAGATACATGGGAGAATCCTTATTTTCACAAATTCTGTATGTCCACTCAAAAAATAGACCCAGCCCTTTCAAATTTTAGAATACCAAGAGAAAAAGGGAAGATCCTAAAACTTATAGAAAGAGCATATATAAATAACAAGTCAATGTATCATCTGACTTTTCATTAGGAAACTTTAATACAAAAAGACTGGAGAAAATGCCCTGAGATTTCTGAAGTCTCTGCCTAGCCAATTTATCCAGCAGGTGTGTAAAATATTTTCAGATATTCAGGGTCTCAAAAATTTATGTTCTTATATACTTTCAGAGAGAGGTACTAAAGAATGTGCTTTAGCAAAACAACAAAGAGAAAAGCTCTGGATCCAGTAAATGGTGGCTTCAACTCAAAGAGTACTGAAGTGAAACAGTACTAGATTACCTCTGCATTTACCACATGGAAAATATTGTGGAGCACCATATCACCTATTGGAACACTTAGGAAACAACAAATTTTCAAAATGAAATAATTATTAACTCTAGGAGAAATATCATGAATATATATGTATATATGAAAATGTAATTATAGTAAAATAACTGACACACTAGTAAACAATATTTACATAGTAAAACAATGCAAAAACTATAGATTTAGCTAAACTCTGTGATACTAGGAGAAGAGGCATTGTATGGGTAGTTATATTTTATGAGAAATACATCTTCATCTGTCATATAAGAAGCCAATATATAATGTGTAAAAATCATATATTAAGAGAGAAGCATAAGAATATTTGAGAATTTGGAGACCATTGCAGATGAAATAGCTGTAAGCGTCAAGATTGTTTTCCTTTGGGAATAAGAGTGAAGAATGAGGAGAAATGGGGCAAAGGTAGCATTTTAGTGCTATTTGATTTGTTTAACCCAGATTTATGTTGATAAAAGTAAAAAATTTTTTTAAATGATAAGTGTCAACAATGTACAAGATGGATGAGAGAAAAGAAAGATACCATTTTATTTTTCTATTTTCTTTTTTTTTCTTCTTAGGACCTGGCATATTTTGATGCCAATGACAACAGATGATGTACTAAAGGAGATTAAAGGAAATCAAGTGGCTTTTCAAGATTGCTTCATTGCAAATTTTCTTTTCCTGCTGACCTTTCCTTTGTTGACAATACCTGAGATTCCTGGATTTTTACCAATCTCTTTACCACATGGTAGTCAGTTAATAGCAGCCTGGGATGCTTGTGTTCCTTCATCTGTTGTTGTGGTAGCCGATATGGAGACCTTTCAAACAAATGATTCATTCCGTACTTGGACCAGAATCAGAGTGCCTCCAAACATTTTGACTGAGGATGAAAGACACAGTGTGTCTGATGTAAGCCTAACACAGGATGGAATATTTTTTCTAATAAATGGTATTCTTTACATAAAAAGTTTTACTGGGTTCAAAAGACTGGGTATAAATGAAAATCTTCCTGATAGTGGAATTATTGGCATTACAACAAGAAAATGGTGTTGGATCAAATATTTATTAAAGGTTAGTAAAAGATTATGTATATGTATATTACACTTACACATTTAGATATACTCACTGTATTATTTATTTCAGTGAAATATGAGACTATACTATACAGCTTTTTTGCAGAGTTATTTTATTTATGGTTGTAAATGAGTCCATCTTCCTAACCTAACTTTTCAGAAGCCTCGTTATAGAGATACACTTCCAGCAAAAGAAATAAAATAAATATTGTATATTATTATGCAGGTTTATTTAGCCATATTATGAGAGTTTTGTTTTACCTTGACATGGGCAAAAGGTCCAAAAAATTATTTTTCCCAAACAAAGATTCTATGTGCTCTCAAAAATTAATTAACTCCTCTTTTTGACAATATAGCGAATAAGATATCCTAAAGTTATCCATTACAAAACACCTAAAATGTTGTGTAAAATTTTAAACCTTTTTTAAAGCATATAGCTGGACCTGTATGGAAGTAAGGGAAATCCTGAGAGGAATGGGGTACTCCTAGATCACTAATCCAGAGGCATAAGCCAATTCCAAAATCTCGGCTGCTGTAAGCCCATGTGCTAATCTTGAATATTTAGACCTCTGGTACGTGGACATAAGGCCTTGGGCCTGAGCATCTGATAAGCATTTTTTCATAAAACAAGAACCTTAAAAAATTTCCCCAACATAATTAAATCTATCTCAGCTTTAACTCTTAGAAGGAAAGAAAAGTCTGTCTTCAGAATTTGTGATCAGAATACTCATGAAAGAAATTGAGGAAGACACACAGAAATGGAAAAACGTTCCATGCTCATGAAGTGGAAGAACAAATATTGTGAGAATGTCTATGCTACCTAGAGCAATCTACACATTTAATGCAATCCCTATCAAAATACCACCAACTTTTTTCACAGAACTGGAACAAATAATCCTAAAATTTGTATGGAACCAGAAAAGACCCCAAATAGCCAGAGGAATGTTGAAAAGAAAAGTAAAGTTGGTGGCATCACAATTCCAGACTTCAAGCTCTATTATAAAGCTGTAATCATCAAGACAGTATGGTACTGGCACAAAAACAGACACATAGATCAGTGGAACAGAATAGAAAGCCTAGAAATGGACCCTCAACTCTACGGTCAACTAATCTTTGACAAAGCAGGAAAGAATGTCCAATGGAAAAAAGACAGTCTCTTCAACAAATGGTGTTGGGA